GTGTGTGTGTGTGTGTGTGTGTGTGTGTGTGTATGTATGTATGAGTGTATACATACATACACATAATGTGCATTGCGTTGTATTATATTGCATTGTATTGTATTGCTCGGCCTACTGCCTTGTCAATCTTAAATATCCGCTGACAGTGTGTATCTAGCAGACAAGCCCTTGTTACAATTGTTATGTAAATCTGAAGCCTGTGTCCAAGTGTTCCTTCTGATATAATATAAGTACGTACTTATACTCTTAAAGTAAAAGGGCCGTCTAGCTCCAATAAAACACTTTCTATGCTATGCCCTGACACACGCCGTCCTTCTTTGCACCATACGAGTATATGGGAGGATAAATCGAGCCACAAATAGGGTTACGAATCAATTACCCGCACCAACAACAACAAGAGGTTACGTGCATCTAATTGTAAATAAAGACAACTCACACCTCCAATAACACAATTTAAATCAAACAGGAGACGGGCTGCACCGACCCTGCCGAACAACAGGATCAACCACAGCTGAAAGGGATGGGCCCTACAACGTCCCAGCGGACAATCGGAGACACTCTGTTCACACTCACACAAACACCACACACTTCCCCATATCGAAAGAGTATCGAAACAGATAAATTCACCATATCACTATAATAATATGTATAAAATGTATCGAAACTCTATCACCAAAGAAAAAAACCCCCAGAAGAGAATGGCAGAAAAACAACAACACCAAGGGCAAAGACCTGAACAACTCACAAGAAGAATCCGAAATTAGAAACGACAGTTGACACGGTAAGCCAAGGAGGAGAAAGCAACGCGTGCAGGTAAAGTACTGAACTATAACTGTGAACGTTCTGCCGGGCCCAAAAGCCATACAAATGAAACGGTCCTTCCAGCGAAGGGAAAAAAAAGAACGGATGAGAGAAAAGTACAGGCCCACTGCTCCGCTTGTTGTTTCAGACCGACGCTAAATGTCAAAGGTTCAGGACGAGCAGATAATGGACTAGGTTCCACATGCTGAGCGGAGATTAAAGATCCTTTTCCGGGCCCTGAGGAGCCCTGTGGTACCCCCTGTACCCTGTGCTACATGACTCGCAGTGTGGTCTTAACCAGTCCACAGACACGTGCACGTCACTTTGAATCCCATTCCCAGTGTCTGAACGGTTCTGCCAGAGCGAGCAAAAGCACCTGCCAAGGACCTGCATACACACTAAAGAGGACATGGAAACAGGACCATTTCTCTAATATCCATACAAAAACTCAAAGATTCCAACCAGAATAAAAACACGTTCAAGCGCCTATTTTACCTAAATTTTTCCAAATCTTTTCAAAAGTTCATTGATTTTACCACTTAACCCGATTACCCCCCCCCCCCCTCCACGATAAACTACAATCACCTAAAGCGTATCACTACACGTGAGAATATTCATTGAAGACTTTAATACATGATGCATTAAGAGAATTAAAATGTGCAGAACATTTTATTTTCAGACCGAGTGTTGCAAAAGTCTCTTCCTAAGCTGGTAACAGACAAGATATAGAAGAAAGAACTTCATGTAACACTGACTCTGTACTTCATAAAAAGCTGCACTTGTTTAAACTTACAGGTGTAAAGTGGTGACTGTTCTATCCATTTCAAAATTTTTCAGCAGTCCTGTTTCCTCTCATCAAGTTAATTTCCCAATGCATCTTCAAAATCTATTCTCTTATAATAAAACTCAACTTTGCATAACCATACTGCCCTAAATCTCT